TTATTAAAGTATGAAGTTTATCGAAGGTCTTAAAGTGTCACAATGGAACAGCAAGACATAATATTCAACTTTTTTTTTATGGCGTAAGCCGGTAAACGAACAGACGGATCACCTGATGGTAAGCAATCGGCGTCGCCCATGGACACCTGAAACACCAGAGGCGTAACAAGTGCGTTACCGGCCTTTTGGGGATTAGGAGTTTGAGGATGGTTGGGGATTCAAGAATTGGGGAGATTGGGGAAGGGAAGAGTAATTGGGCCTCCGGTAACCTCACTCACGCGACGAAACACAACGCAAGCGTTGCTTCACGTCGGTTTTCTGCTCGGCCGTGGTATCACTCCGGTCGAGCCGGCCCATTCGTGCCGAAGCATGGCTTTCCCACACTTTCTGTTTCATACAACAAAACTTTCTTCAAACGCACTTCTAAATTCCTCCGCGGGTGATGGGCCACGCTTTTCACTTTCACATACCATCAGTTTGCCACAATCTCATGACAAAAAGCACAGAACTTTTGTCAGAAACTTTCAAGAACTTTTTATATCCCATGGACGAAGCACCTAACAACGAACAACGTTATAAGTGCAAAAATCGAATGATGGGTCTTAGATACCTCCTCCACATCGTTACCGGGTTGTGGAGGACAGATGACAGTAGCTTCTTGTAAAATGCTAACATTTCACTGCCTGCCTCGTTGGTCGAGTGGTCGCAAGTGCGACTGCCGGGCAAGGGGTCTCGGGTTCGATTCCCGGGTCGGGCAAAGTATTACTAGGATTTAAAATCTCAGTAGTAGCACGGAGTCTGGAAATGTGCCCGGTATATGGCAATAGGCTCACCCCCTATTACATGGGACTCATAACATAAATAGGTAGTGAAAAGTGGGTGTTACTTCTGTGTGCACTTCTGCCTACCCCTTCGGGGATAAAAGGCGTGATGTTATGATGTTATGCTAACATTTCAGTCAAACCTGGTTAAAACCAAGTTGAAAAAACCAGGAAAAAAGAGTTAAAATAGTAAGCCACGTGACTAAGAATAAGAAGGTCGATGTTATTCCTTTATATCTATTCCTTGCAACGGTTTCGTGTCAATCTCATGTCCAATTCTCAGAATATATAAATTATATATAAAAGCTGACAATGTCTACGTTATTCTTAGGAAAACGTGGAATAATCTATTAATGCTAAGTCGGTTATATGTATTGTTAAAAAAGAGACGAGAAATCATGAAATCAATTCGTCATTGCGTGACGTGTAAGATGTAACTTTAGTTTTTTGATATTAACTACAGATTAGTGATATTTTATATGTGGTTTAATAATACAGTACAGAAGAAAAATTAGAGAGTAGAATGTTTAATTAGTAAGAGTCTGACACTCCCTCTCGCCTCACTCAAGGCGGGAGGAGAATTATTAGATTTTTTTATGGGATAAGCCGGTAAACAAGCAGAGGGATCGGCTGATGGTAAGCCATCGGTGTCTCCCATGGACACCTGGAACACCAGAGGCGTTGCAAGTACGTTACCGGCCTTTTAAGGATTAGGAATTTGAGGTTTTTTTGGGGATTTAGGGATTGGGGAGATTGGGGAGAGGGGAGAATAATTAGGCCTCCGGTAACCGTAACCGGTCACCTCTGGTGAGTGAGGACTCACATGACGACACACAACGCAAGCGTTGTTTCAAGTCGGTTTTCTATAAGACCATGGTATCACTCCGGTCGAGCCGGTCAATTCGTGCCGAAGCATGGTTCAAAATGTTTTTATAACCCTCATAAAGTTCACCACTCCTAAGTATAAGGTTCTAAGTTGCACGTGACAAGTACACGTGGGAGGAAATTGTTAAAAAGTTCATGAAAATTTCAAAAGTCTTTCAATGTATGTACGTATATATGATGAGAAAGGTATTATGCAGTACTTTGGTTACATTATGAATGTAGCTTTTCAACGTGGTACTATTGCATTTCAGGTACGACTAGGAAATCTTAAGATAGGTAAATACTTTTTTATCATTATTATCATCAACGTCCACTGCTGGACAAAGGCCTCCCCCTTAGTCCTCCACGTCGAACGACAACTCGCCACCTGCATTCACTGGCTCCCCGCAACTCTGGCGATGTCATTGGTCCACCTAACGGGAGGCATACCCATGCTTCGTCTTCCGGTCCGTGATCTCCACTCTAGGACTTTACTGGTCCATCTGACATCAGTCCGTCGAGCGACGTGGCCTTCTTTGTATTATGTTGTTCTTAATTTTAATAACTTAGTACATCTAAAATGCTTTAGTTTTATGAAACAAACCATGACCAGAAAACTGACGTAAAATAACGTAACATAACATAAAACCACGCCTTTTATACCCGCAGGGGTAGGCAGAGGTGTACATTATTCTACTGTACAATGTAACACCCACTTTTCACTATTTATGTTATCAGTCCCATGTAATAGGGGGTGAGTCTATGGCCATATACCGGGCACAATTCCAGACTCCATGTAAGTATTGAGATTTTTTTTTTACACATTTTATACGGCTTCCGTTTTATATCGATGGGAAGATGAGGTATCCAAGACTCCATCCTTCTTCAAAGCGAGATCTCCAACCCGCCTTATAAGCTTGGACATTACGGTAACACGGAATGATTTTCACTGCCTGACGATTTTTTTTATTAAAACGTGTCACTATACACGTGAGAAGCCTCTCTTTGAAAACGTGACTGATTTGACAATATTCCCCCCTTTTTTTACAAATTTCCATAAGTTTTACTTTCAATGAAAAGTCGTGGAATAATGTCTCGGCATTACTTTCAAATACTGTTTTGTATTACCACATGATTACACTGTATGTGCATGGATTCTGTATTTTTTTTTGCCTGGCGATCCATGCTTCGGCACGAATGGGGCAGCTCAACCGGAGTGATACCACGGCCGAGCAGAAAACTAGCATGAAACAACCAAAGCTCTGTGTTTTGTCGTGTGAGTGAGGTTACCGAAGTCCGATTTACCCCCTCCCCAATCTCCTCAAGTACCAATACCAAGTACCAATGTGACTTTTTCCGAGTTATATGTACTTTCTAAGATTATTCAGACACTACTGACAAACGGTGAAGGGAAACATCCTGAGGAAACCCAGGCTTATAATTTCTAATTATAAGTTTGAAATCACAAACCCGCATTGAGTAAGCGTGGTGATTAATGCTCAAACCTTCTCCGTGTGAAAAGAGGCCTGTGGTCCGCAGTGGGTATTTATAGGCTGTTGATGAATGTCCCTATTACGTAAATCCCCAACAGTGTTTAAATTCTTTATACTCAAAGGCCTGTGGTGTACTTGTACCGCCTCTTGATCTATTTAAAGCCATAGGATAACACTTAAAAAGAGATATAAGTAAGAGTTAACACGTTAAACGCCATGGGGGTCACCGGTGACAGGCGTTAGCGGAGGATTCACCTTCAACAGTTTTTATTGGCAGTCAAAGTCTTAAGCTAGTTACACACTAAAACTATTTCGTTTTTCAGTCAGTTTACTATCAAAAAACCTAATTTGCTGTTTACAAAATCAAATTTAAACTAGAGAAAAACGTTGACAGTACGTTTTTCTATCTTTTTTCTATGACTAAGGGCATATGATTATATAACAAGTCACATTATGTAAAACGTGTCTATTACACTGAAATTATTCAGTACATACTATTACGCAACTTTACAGGACATATTACAATATTGTAATTCTATAGACATTGTATTTTTTTGGTTTTAAATGTTTATATTTGAAGTGTAGATGTAGAAAAATAAGAATGTTTGGATGTGAATAGTATCCAGCAAAATGCTACAGGCCCCAGCTTAGCTTTACGCTACGGATTCACGATGCGATTTTTACCCGCCCGCTTACCGATCGCAGAGCGCGCTGGTGTAACCCATCGCGGCTGCTGGACCACTCGCAATAATAGGGATGATGACAGGACACGAAAAAATAGGTGTGTAATATTTTTTATTTATTATTATTTAAGTTAATTATTGTTAAACTACCGACCCGCCCCGCTTCGCGCGGGTGCAATATGCATGTATTATACATATAAAGCTTTCTTAAGAATTACTCTATCTATTAAAAAACATAACATAACATAAAATAACATTTTTTGGGATAGGCAGAGGTGCACACAGAAGTAACACCCACTTTTCACTATTTATGTTATGAGTCCCACGTAATAGGGGGTGAGCGTATTGCCATATGCCGGGCACATTTCCAAACTACGTGCTACTACTAGGATTAAAAAAAAAAACAGTATTATTTTGCTCGACCTGGGAATCGAATCCGAGACCCCTTGCCCGGCAGTCGCACATGCGACCACTCGGCCAAAGAGGCAGTCAAAAAAAACATAACATGTTATGTTGTTTTTTTTCGACTTACTCATTCCGTTACCCTCGACATATGAGCCTCTAGCATGGCTTGAAACTAATCGAGTTCCTCATCAAATAATAACGTGAGTAAGGCGACAAACATAATATTTAATATAGAATTAACGTTTAAATATTATATTTTTAATATAAGAAAGAAAAAACACTAGTTTCGATACCTACTATGTATGTTTATACCTACTCCTTAGAGTAGTTAAAAATTATGTCGATTTTACCTTGACCGTTAATTTGAAAGTAATATCACATTGAGTAAAAAAAACTACCGAATTACGCATCAATGTAATACGGGTATTTGAATAACGAATACTTGAAATCAATTTGAAATTTGAATTTAGAATGATCGATCGAATTTTGAAAATGACGGGTTTTTATACATAATCGTCTAGCTTCATAGTCAGGAGACAAAAAGGTTTTATAAAAGTGTATTTTTCTTAGAAAAAAATAACTTTTTACAAGTTATCTGTCTGATTAATTTACAAGTCGTAGATGCTAACTTCTAGTTGACCAAATTAGACATGAATAAGTAAGTATTGGTCACATTGGTCTATTATATGTATAGCGTTATTAGTCAAAGGAATTGTTAAAATCTTACAAAGTTGTTCCTTAAAACCCATAATCCCTAGTGTAAGTGTGGGAGAGCCATGCTTCAGCACGAATGAGCCGGCTCGACCGGAGTGATACCACGGCCGAGCAGAAAACCGACGTGAAACAACGCTTGCGATGTATCTCGTCGTGTATCTCCCTAATCCCTGAATCCCCATCAATCCTCTAATTCCTAAACCCAAAAGGCCGGTAACGCACTAATAACGCCGCTGGTGTTCCATCTGTCCATGGGCGACGCCAAATGCTTACCATCAGGTGATCCATCGACTCGTTTACAACTTACCCCATAAAAATCAATTGTAACTAGGAAACTGCAGTAATATTATAGATAAATTTCTTCACAATTAATTAACACATCGAGGGCACATGTAATTGCTATATTTAATTCCTAGAACAGCTAATAGGAAGTACTAATGACAAATCTTTTTATAACCCAGTAACATTGTATCTATGTTGCATCATCATAACGTGCTCTGAACACAGGTGTTTGCGCTAATTTATTAATTAATTTTGTGTAACAGGCGACTATAACAATTAGTTCATTAATTTTTGTACGTATAAAAAATTAATCTAGTGCTCATTGGCAATAACTCAATAATTTGTTTATAAACTCTAATATGTTTAATAAAATTGGATGGATAACTAAAATATTGTAGATGTAGAAAAGTCGATGTCGTGGTGGCCCGAAGGTTTAAGACGCCCACTTCTCATGCATAAGGGTGCGGGTTCGAAACCTACCAACAGCAAGTACCAATGTGACTTTTTCCGAGTTATATGTACTTTGTAAGATTATTCAGACACCACTGACAAACGGTGAAGGAAAACATCGTAAGGAAACCTAGGCTTATAATTTCTAATCATAAGTTTGAAATCACCAACCTGCATTGAGCAAGCGTGGTGATTAATGCTGAAACCTCCAGGTGAGAAGAGGTTTTGCTCAGCAGTGGGCATTTATAGGCTGGTGATGATGATGAGAAAATGTAGTTAATTACAGTAGTATTAAGATAGATTTCAAATAAAATGATTTTGCATACACGACATTGCACAATTTTTCAGTCACACAAAATCCCATAAAAATTAAAACCTACAATCCTGTACACCAGTAATTTCGTTGATTGTACATCAAACTATGTAGATATACAAGGAAAAGTGTCGGATATGCCTACGTGACGACACGCGCGTGTCTTGTAGACATACTCTCCGGCTATAAATAAGGCTAGCAATAAGTAGCCACGGTGTGACACGGGCGACATAACACGTATGCAAAGTCGAAGTCGAAGTCGAAGCACTTATTTTAATTAATATATAAAGGAGCTATATTTATCGTGTGTCTTAAGTTTCAGTTGATCACCAAGAAAATATTTTGAATGGAAACGCACTTAATGATTAGGTACTTGCCTTAATCAAAAATAATTTATTTCGACTGTCAATACAATAAAATATTGAAACATAATCACACTTTCATTAATTGATTTTATGACTAACTTAATTTTAGTGTTTTTCTAGCAAATTTTTAAGAAATTAGTATGCTGTTTAACGCTAAAGAAACGTGACGTCACAATACACAATCTCGTACCAAATTCATAGAAAACTGTCGTTTTTGACAGTACGAAAAAAGTATTTAATTTGACTATGGGATTAAAAAAAAACAAAACTACTTTGACAATATCCCTAAATAGTGGCACATATGACCACACAACGTGGCAGATTTTACAAAGAATTTACAAAACTAAGACATCCAATAAATCTAAACGTTGTCCCACATGAGCCTTTGTCTTCTTTAACTACTGAAAAAAAAAAATACTCGTGGGTGTGAAGGCTAAAAGTCATTGCACACTAAACAAGCACGGCTCCGGTACGGCTCCGGCGCGGCGTTGTTTGCTTTGGACACAATAGAAAAAGACTGTAAGCGCGCCGACGCGGCTGGCGTACTTGCAGCTTTCTTATATCGTCGTTATGAAATACGTCATACGACATACGATTTAAAGTTCACATTTAAATGACAATGACATTTCTGGTTTGGAGGCGTGCCGGAGCCATGCTTGTTAGGTGTGTGATGACTTTAAATTAACAAAAATTGTCGTGGTGGCCCGGAGCTTTCAGACGCCCACTTCTCATGCATGAGGGTGCGGGTTCGAAACCTACCAACAGCAAGTACCAATGTGACTTTTTCCGAGTTATATGTACTTTCAAAGATTATTCAGACACCACTGAAAAACGGTGAAGGAAAACATCGTGAGGAAACCTGGGCTTATAATTTCTAATTATAAGTTTGAAATCACCAACCCGCATTGAGCAAGCGTGGTGATTAATGCTCAAACCTTTTCCGGGTGAGAAGAGGCTTTGCTCAGCAGTGGGCATTTATAGGCTGTTGATGATGATGACGTAAGATTTCTCGATTATTATTGAAAGGCTATTTTCATGTATTTTCCAAGAAGGGTTAAAACGTAAGCATTTACCCGAATTCAAAATGAATGAGAGTGTTTTCTTAGGATATCAATGTAATATTATTCTTTGTTAATTTAAGCATTAGGTATTATGTAATTTTAGGGCTGATGCCGATACGGAGTCGCGGAAGACTTAACGGGTTGCCGGGGCTCCGGCTTGAAGTGCAGGAGTACCAGGAGTACCCTTAGAAAAGAGAAGTTGTCTAATTTTAGATACTGTGCTTTCGAACCGTTTGGGGTTGAAACTTGCACATCTTCTTTACAAAGATATTGTGAGGAGGATGGTTGAGGGTTCAGGTGATCAAAGGGCTTGGGAAAAGGCTAAGCATTGCCATTCAACGTGGCAATGCTGCCAGTCTTTTGGGCATCCTACCTCACGATAGCGACGAGGAAATATTTTTTTTGATGCCTTAACATAGCATTTTATATTTTAAGATGTAAATATTTATTTAATTTAAATTTGATTAGAATTATTGTAATGAATTAAAAAAATGGATTGTAATAAGTAAATAATAAGGTTAATTCTAGAATTGCATTGAAAATCGTTGAAATAGTTGCACTGAATGCACTCAAGAGAAAGTTAACACGATGCTAATAAAGTGCAGAGATTCATATCAGAAAATTCCGAGTACTTATATATAAAAATTTCAACTATTAGATGTTGTGAGGGTATGAATGTGAGAAAGAGCGCATTTTATTAGTGCAACGCTCCGTTCGTAAGTGACATATAGCTCAGTTCTACAGAATGCAGCTACAACATTACAACGTTTTGTTTTATTAAAAAAATAAATAAATTAATTAATTAATTCAGTGACTTCAAGCAATCTTTTGTTTTCATTAGGAGTGCAGTACAGAATAGTTGTAAATTTATTCATATCGATATTAATAAATGAACCAATATTAATTTACTTTTATGTTTTTATAATAACTATCGTGAAACATACTAAATTAACTAAAATCTCGGGTTACTCACGTGAATATACTGAGAAAAGCTCTACTAGTTTCGAACCATAGAGGGGTTCTTCCTCATTAGTAGCGTGCGCGGTCGCGGCGACAGTGAGCTGCGCGACGTCAGTATATTCACGTGAGTAACCTGCGATTTTAGTTAATTTACTTTTAGCTACTAAGCACTAAGAGTTCTGTGTATTAGATAGGATAGAGTTTTAAAATCTCAAGCTATTTTTACACCACACTGTTATACAAAAAGCATTTATACGGTCGAATTGAGAACCTCCTCCTTTTTTTGAAGTCGGTTAAAAATAACCTATAACCATACTTTTTAATTTTAATATATGTATATATCAGTTGTGTGCGTCTAACAATGACACCATTGTCTTCAAATCACAAATATATCACTACCTACCTACCTACTCATTTTAAACATTGTCTAATTACTACCCCAACAAAACCACCAGGAAAAAATCTGAATGAATCACTCCTAGACATGTTTACAGGCAGATCTTTCAGCATCGCTTGCGCATCTACCAGAGTATAACAAATTAATCCGGTAAACATATATTTATATTAAAAAATGTGTTTATTTGTCTATCTGTATATAGTTGTGGAGCGTTGAAAGGTGAGATGAGATCCAGATCACCAGTTTTTGGTTATTTGTTTTAGTATTTTAGGTCTTAGATGTAGTGCGGTGAACCTGACGATTGAGCTATCCACGTGGATTGTGTGAGGGTTTTTCTCTATTTCAAATTTTAAAGCATTTTTAAACATCGTCATCATAATTAATTCTCAGGCACTAGATAACAGAGACTGGGGAATGGGAGAGTCAGAGAATGAGAATGAGAATTGTCAGAGAATGGGGAGACGATTGACTTACAGATAAAGTGGTAGGTAAGAGACCTGGGTGAAACCAATCCCAATATCAATCCAATAAAATCTCAATAATTATTCAATGTCAAAACTATACAACCCCTATCGTAGCTGTTAAAATAGCATACAGAGTACGCATCATAATAATACTTATAGAATTGTATTTCTTACGCATGATAAGTATTTACATAACATCACGCCTTTTTATCCCGAAGGGGTAGGCAGAGGTGCACATTACGGCACTTAATGTCACTGTACAATGTAACACCCAATTTTCATTATTTATGTTATGAGTACCATGTAATAGGTACACATACAGTGAAATGAAATTCAATAAATTCCTACTATAAAAGTGCCTAATTAAAAAGATAGACCTACCGCTATGGGTTAACGACCTCTGCTTATCATAGAAATAGATAAACATTGTACTATTTGATGATAAGAATAAATTAAATAGTCATAATATTAGTAATCTGCCTGACTGCCTCGTTGACCGAGTGGTCGCAAGTGCGACTGCCGAGCAAGGGGCTCGGGTTCGATTCGCGGGTCGGTCAAAGTATAACTGGATTTCTTAAACAATTCTCAGTAGTCGGAGTCTGGAATTGTGCCCGGTATATGGCAATAGGCTCACCCCCTATTAATTGGGACTCATAACATAAATAGTAAAAAGTGGGTGTTACATTGTACAGTGGCATTAAGTGTCGTAATGCGAACCTCTGCCTACCTCTTCGAGGATAACAAGCGTGTTGTTATGTTATAATTTAACAATATACCTAACACCACTTAACTAAGTACTCCCCAATAATGTCCGGTGTTTGCTTCTATGTGCCCTCCTATACCAGGTCGTCCATCTACCTCACAGAGCTCATAATAAACCATTCCGAGAATCAAACCTGCACCGAAATAACTGAATACCTGATGCAAATTCTTGAGTGTACAATTACAGTGTGTTTTCAAAATAATAATTTCATTAAACTGACTACGATATTCTGAACGGAATTTATAGTACGATTCAGGATTGAGTTTAAGGGAATATCGACCTTATGGGTTTAGTAATAAAGGCTCTGTGTGTACAGATTATTTTGGGTCCTGGTTGATTGTACATTGAAACCGCTGAAGCATTATTAAACAGCTAATTTTAGTATTGGTTTAATTTAGGGTGGGCAGAATTGTAGGTAGACGTATTAGGAAATTGTGATCGATTTTGGAGTACATTTAGATGTTAACTAGCGTGCCAACGTGGGATAACAATTAGCCTATGTGTTATTCTAGAACATAATCTACGGCGAGCATGGGTAGCTCGCCGCCTGACCAGAACCAACAGAGAACCAGACAGAGACAGAGAATCAGACCCGAGTGTACGGCGCGTCGCGTTCTGCGCGCCCGAAAAATCTATCAGACCACCACGGATGGGGCCCAATAGGACTGATGCCTATACGAGAGCCGCGGAAAACGTAAAAGGTTACCGAGGCTCCGACTCGAAGTGCAGAAGTAGGAACGGGGTGGTTTTTAGTCAGTAAGAGGACAGAGAACCCTACCTCCCGCTTCACCTAGGTGGGGAAAGTAATCTGATGATTTTCCCTCTTAACCCTTTGAGTACCGTCATTATAGACACAATTAAAGAACAATAGGTTGTGGTCACCGGTGTCCTCCCGGTGTTTGACAGTTTAATAATCTACCACTGTTCCTAATATTCTGATCCCTACAGCCGTTTGACATATTATGGTAACAAACACACACAAACAAACTCACTTGTAAACTTTTGTATGCCGTTTAGTGACGTCAGAGTAGAATACATTGGTTACCAATTTTTCTCTTCTTGTGGGTGGTAGGTAGTATACCCGATTAAGAGACGACTCATTTAATAGAGACCGAGCAGATCATTGATAAAACTTGAACCTTTAAATTGTGATCTTTCCAACCTATGAGCCGTCGGAAGAGAAATCATCGAATGACTGCTCCCGCCTGGGTGAGGCAGGAGGGAGTGTCAGACTCTTACTGACTAAAAATCACCCCGTTCCTTCTCCTGCACTTCGAGCCGGAGCCCCGGTAGATCGTTAAGTTCTCCGCGGCTGATATTATGGCATACCGATGTGGGAGAGCCATGCTTCGTCACGTCACGGCCTCACAGAAAAAACGACGTGAAACAACGCATGCGTTGTGTTTTGTCGTGTTGTGTTGTACGAGGTTACCGGAGGTCCAATTACCCCCTCCCCAATCTCCCCAATCCCCGAATTTCCAACAATCTTTTAATTTCTAACCCCTAAAATACCGTAATGCACTTGTAACGCATCTGGTGTTTCAGGTGTTCATAGGTAGCACTGATTGCTACCATCAGATCATCGGATGCCCATGGTCCACTTGAGCTTCTTATAGATTCTCAGTCAGCTCTTGCCTCTTATAACACCCACGAAAAGACTAAGGTTGACCAAATGTATTTCTACTCTGCGCATACGACACCGGTTTTTTCAAAAATTATACAGTTTTAAGGAAAAATACAGGCATTGAGAAAATTCAAGGTTGTATGGAAAATACATACAAAATGAGTTTGACCTTTCAGCCAAGTTTATTATACATGAGATTCCTGTAAAATGAAACAATGCAGTACCTGAAATTTGAAATTTAAGGAAAATGTTATATTGCCCGTAGACTACTTGACCTTGTATTATTCTAGAAATTAATTATACTATATGACTGCCTCGTTGGCCGAGTGGGTTCGTCTAAGGTTCGATTTCCGGTTCGGGAAAAGTATTACTGGGTTTAAAAAAAAATCTCATTGTTTGCACGGAGCCTTGAATTGTACCCGGTATATGGCAATAGGCTCATACCCTATTACATGGGACTCATGTCATAAAATAGTGAAAAGTGGGTGGTACATGGTTCAGTGGCATTAAGTGCCATAATGCGCACCTTTGCCTACCCCTTCGGGGATAAAAAGGCGTGATGTTATGTTATGTTATCTTGCTGCTACAACTTTATTACTGATAAACAGCTAGGGTTTCGGTGGTTGCCTGGTTTTTAAGTCTGGAAAATCATCCAATGACTTCTCCCGCCTTGACTGAGGCGAGATACCTTTTTTTAAGGGGGGAGAATCATGGACTGACTGCTTCCGCCTGGGTGAGGCGGGAGGGAGTGTCAGACTCTTACTGACTAAAAACCACCCCGTTCCTACTCCTGCACGTCGAGCCGGAGCCCCGGTAACCCGTTAGGTTCTCCGCGACTCGAGTCGAGATTCCTAGTGCTAGACTTCCTGACTAAAAACGACTCCGTTCCCACTCCGGCTTCGTACCGAAGCCCTGGTTAGTTCGTCCGGAGCTCCAGGTAGATTGCCTGATTTGGGAATCGAATTCGAGACCCTATACTTGGCAGTCGCGCTTTCAACCACTCGACCAATGAGGCAGTCTTTACATTTCTAGATATTTTTCCAGTTTTCATAGCCGAATCACTTTTAAAACTTTAACTTTAATAGACAAATATTATAAAACTTTCAAAATATTAAACATTTATGTCTATTTATGCACACCCATCCTGTTCCAGTGTTCATTGACTGTTGCTTACCCACATCCGGTTTATTTATTTGTTCAAAGGTCGTTTACATTATTTATTCAAGTTTTTGAGTGTCTACCTATAGTCGTGTGGTCGTAAGTGTGATAGCCAAGATGGCTTTCAGTTCGTAATATTCGGCTATTTTGTAAAATATCAATATGAGTTCTCGAACTGAGCTCGATTGCATCCTCGTCCGTCATTGGTCAGGATTATTGTCATAGCTAGTGGCATGGCGGACCACCATCGAGTTCACTTAAATATTTCGAATTGAAAGGTACAGAATAACTTAGCAGTACCTACTATTGTCTTTTAAGATTTAAAAAATAAATCTTAGTAATAATACGTAGTCTAGAATTGTGTGTGATATATGGCAATAGGCAACCCCTTAGATACAAGGGATTCTTACCATAACTAAATTAGAGAACTTAAAAAGATACCACTAATTTACCTGACTCAGGAATCAAATCGAAAAACCTTCGTGTCAGAGGTCAACGACGGAGTCAGTTGAATGGCTAACAAATAAATAGGTATTTGAAAGATTCGGATTATGCCAAAATTTCATGGAAATTCCTTCTGTGTCACGGGTAAGTGAATATTCCAGAGTGTCAACTATGATGTATGATTTGATTATACCACAGGTATCGTTTCAGCGGTCAGTGACTTCGAGTCCGCGTCAATTTAAATGTCACCCTTTCAGTTTCAGGTATTCACGACATTTGAAAATATAATTATACCTTTACACTTTTTGATAAGCAGTTTAAAAGGATGTTTTTATTTTTAGAATGGACTTGATTTCTATTTATAAGTTGTGATTAAAAATAAGTAAAAATTGTGGGGGAATTTTAATTTCAGTGTTGGTTAGACTGAATTTATTTTAAAAAGTGATTTGGGTACTGTTGTTATAAAACTTTGTACATAGAAAAGAGGCTTCCCATCATCAAAATTCTACATAAAAGAGGCACTAAAAGATAGTACAAATCAAATATGTCAAACAAACTGAATAAATATGTACTTGCAATCTATTCTACTGACAATCCCCCACACTAAACGATATGACGTAACAAAGTAGTTAACACACTGACGTGTTCACTTCCTGCCCAGCTCCGAATCATGCCATGTCTTATCTTATGCGCAGGAGTCAAACACAGATTATACAACACACAGAGACCACACTCGCGAGACATGAAAGACAGTAATGATAAGTATGCGTGGCGAGGGCATTACACGTGAGACAGATATCTGTACATACAGACAGGAAGAATATACATAAGTATTGTCACACCTGTCTTCTTACAAAAGCAGAAACAACCAAATGACAAGATTCTAGCATACGTCTTTCACTTCATCTATGGAGGCATGAAAGAAGACAAAGGTAGGTAAGTGTAGTGATTGTCACGCATCACGTGGTGACGGTAAATACTTGTCTACTCTTTGCGCTGGTATCGTGTGAGCTGACTATGGATTACACACATATAAATGACACTGAACTGCAGAGTGTTCTAATAAACCTGATATCTGAGTCCTGAGTCTGGTAGAAATCACTATAAGTGATGAGACCGCCTTTGTGCCCATTTTTATTTTTTATTTGTATACATACATTGTTATGTATGTATACAAATAATCCCTCAGGGAGAAAAGGCGTGATGTTTCACGCCTTTTCTCCCTGAGGGGTAGGCAGAGGTACACATTACGGCACTTAATGCCACTGTACAATGTAACACCCACTTTTCATTATTTATGTTATGAGTCTCATGGAATAGGGGGTGAGTCTATCTCTAGTCTAGTCTATAGTCTATTGCCATATACCGAGCACAATTCCAGACTCCGTGCTACCACAGATTTTTTTTAAAACCTGATTTTTTTGTATTTTGCCCTACCCGGGGATCGAACTTGAGCAGCAGTCGCAATTGCAACCACTCGGTCAACTAGGCAGGCAGCACTTTTTAAGTATTTATGTTTATCATTTCCTTCTTCTGTATGTTCTATATTATTAATGGTGTACAATAAAGATTATTTTATTCTATTCTGTTCAGTCTGCATGAGGCTATAGCAAAAGGAGGAGTATAGTCCAGCAATGCACTGCCACGGGATGTTGATGTGTGTGTGTGTGTGTGTGTGTGTGTGTGTGTGTATGTGTGTATGTGTGTGTGTGTGTGTGTGTGTGTGTGGCAAAGTCGTGATCCGCAAGACATCGAAGAAGCTTATTATGATAATGATACGTATGTGTTTACTACCAAAAGGATTAGAAGTAATTACGATTAAGTATATGATAAATGTGAAAGTTAGATTTAGATAATTGTGTAATAAAATGTTTTATCTTTGCTTTGGAATGTATTAGAAGTTGTAAATGATAAAGATTATTCGCTTCTTTTTCCTGGTATGTCGTTTTATTGGTTTTTGTACAACTATTTGATTAAAAGGTAATCTTCTTCATGTACCTAAGAAATGCTATTAGATAAATGACATCAATAAGCTATATTATTCCTATTATGAATCCTACTATCCTATGAGTTACTATACATAGGTACATTAGAGTTTTTGCAATAGAAGTTGAGAGGTATAATTTTTTTCTATTCACAAAGTTATCTACCGCTTTTATTGATTTTTTTATAAATTTTAAATTATCATCACACTTCTTAGGGTCAGACGACATAACCTAAAATTGCCGCTCTATTAACACTCCATTAGCTACATAATCCACGTGCTAGTATGACGTCACCGTACATAGTATACGTTAGCCACGTGCGTCCGGTGTAGCGAGTTAGGGTATATTCGGACATTCCCTATTTACGGCGTAATCAGGAAAATGTCTATTATAACGTACAACCGCAAGCATATCATCCTACTCCAATCTGTCTATTTTTTCATTGGATTTTCGACTTTATAATAAGAATATAAAGTTCAAAATCTAATAAAGAAATTTTACAGAAAGGGGTAGCTTGACTTGCTGGCGTCTGTACATATTGTTACTACGCACTTTTGAAGGGAAGTGGAAACTATTGCTTTGGAATTCCTTCAAAGAAATTCAATAATCATGGATTTAGGTGTAAACAGGGGAGCACGTGTTAATTGTTACATCAAGTTTGTGCCGGTTATGAGTACCTGGTGACGTCAGACACGTGTGATGACGTCAGAGTAGAACACATCTGTCCCCACCCCTGAAAATATTGAGTAAAGCCGCGCCAGCGACAGCGCACGCTGCTCATGAGGAAGAACCCCTAAGTGGTTCGAAACTAGTAGAGCTTTTCTCAGTATATTCACGTGAGTAACCCGCGTTTTAGCACTATCCATATACAGCATGTGACAAGACTGTACATAACTTATATTAGATACATATGTACATAGGTACTTTTTCTACAATTAGCGTCATATGAAGTCATTGAGTTTTTTCCTAGTGATCCCTTGGACGGGGTTTTGAACTTTAGACTTGACATGACCAGTAGTTTTTTAAATACTAATTTGTTTTATTTGAAACTATGTACACACGGCCACACATCAATCTATACAAAGCCAATTTATCCTGGTGTCCCGTCGCATCGTCTTTCCACACATTTAACGTTCAGTTTATACTGGTTATGTAAAGCTCGATGTGTAGCCGTGTGTAGTT